TCTCTCTCTCTCTCTCTCCTGTGTGTATGCGTGTGTATTTCTCTTCTTCAGTACTCCCCCCTCCCCCTTCCCCTTTACTTATTCGCTCTGGGTTTGTGTTGGCGATTGTATGTTAATGTAACTTTTTTATGTTTGTGCGTGCGTGTGTGTGCATGTGTGTGTTTGTGTGTGTGTGTGTATGTGTGTGTGTGTGACTGTGTGCGTTAAGATGTGTGATGCGAGATTGAGAGAGAAAGAAAGGGAGAGAGAGAGAGAGAGAGAGAGAGAGAGAGAGGGGGGGGAGAAAGAGAAAGAGGAGAAAGAGAGGTAGGTTTTTACTGTACTACACAATACATTATCATTTTAACTAGGTTAGTACGGCTGCTTGTCACACCTGTTGGAGGGGCTCATACATTTCAGAACAAATAAAATATACTGAGATCATATTCTCCAGGGTCATAGGCCTACTGATGACGAAGTTTGCAAACTGGTTTTTCGGATACGTTATCAGAAAAGCTGGAACAGCTTGTGGCGTTAATAAAGGAATGAAGCTCCTGTATAAGAAAGGACTTATTGATATAATATAATATGATAGAGTGTTTGTTGTTGCGGGGCAAGAAAGACAGATGAATAAGTAGATAGACTTAACGCTGGTACTTTCTGAAAGATAGAGATAGATCATAGATGGACCAGTGAAAGGGTAGATTATACGATAGGTAAGCAGGTAGGTAGGTAGTTGGGTAGGTAGGTAGGTAGGTAGATAAGTACGTATGTTGGTAGACGGATGGCTAAATAGATCGATCAATAAATAGATCGATCGATAGACAGATCTATCAAGATCGATCGATAGATAGATAGATAGACAGGTAGGTAGATAGGTTGGTAGGTAGGTAGGTAGATAGGAAAGTACGTACGTATGTAGATAGATAGAGAGATAGATAGATAGGATGGTAAGTAGGTAATAGTTGGATGGATAGAGAGACGGAAGGGAGAGAGGAATAGATAAATCAAAAGATAGACACTGTAATAATATTTATAAATTGTATGCAGATTGATGCTTTAGGTCAACCAATAGATGGCTTCACTGAATGGCAACGTCTATGCATGCTCTTGAGACGAGAGACATATATATATATATACTATATATCTA